CCCCCGGTCAGTGGCTGATTCCACAGCTCGAACTCATAACATATAAATCACACGGAGACAACTTTACCATTGCTTCAAGACTCTATAGATATGCAACAAAAGACTGGTATATCTTTGTAGTGTATAGTTACTATACTAATTTTATAGTCTTGTGGCAATGATATAATTTCATTATACTTAAAAGATTTTCAATAGATCATTTTAGAGAGTTATATAAGAATGCTAAAGCAAATATTGTATTTCAACAGCAAATCTTGTTAACTTTGGTCTGTCAAAATTTGTGCATACAACTTTAGGCAGTGACTTGAGAAAGAATAGGAAAGAAAAGAAAATGAAGAAAAACAGAAACTTGAAAAACAAACAGAGAGATGATCTTTATATCAATCTATCTGCACAAAAGCTATGTGCCAAAATCTACTGGTACTACTTATCGAACATATTCAAATAATACACCACCAATATACATTTCATGAGGAAGTTGTTGGCTATTATATAATTGCATATTGTTACAGTACTTTGCAAGTTAAGTTCCAAATAAGGTTATCAGAATAATGAAAGAGTAAATGATAAGGAGAGAGAACAGATAGCTGCTTCTAGCGTCTACTCGCTTTGTTTTATCTCTTTAGCAGCACTTGTATCAACTTTGACCTCATCTTTACAACTCATCTGCAAATCTTCAGTCTCAATATCTGAACTTTCCAAGTTTGATGTTGTTTCGTCAGTAGAGGATAAACCATCCTCGGACAAGTCAAAACCATTGTCTCCCGCTGAGGATTCTCGTGTCTCAGCAGTCACATATTGGTCAGAGGGCAATGGAACACCAGATTTAACAAATTCAGACATCTTCTTGTCTCCCTCTTTCATGCGTTTGTAGTACGCGACATATTCAAAACCTTGTGTGCATTTCCCCCCAAATGAGGATTCAAGCTTCTCCATATCAAATAGATCTTCCATTACCTTCTGAGTATGTACATCATTTGGATAGACAAACCTCACTTTCTTGTATGTCCTCTTCTCAAGAAATGGTTTTACCAACTGCAAGATGCATACTAAAACATTATTAGGATTGTTGAAAGTTGTGAAAGACTGAAAGTTGTATTGCAATATATTATTAGCCAAAAACTGTAAATGAGAATACTTATTAGTTAGAGGCACCTACTATCCAGAAGGACTCAAAAACTTTTGGCGGATTATAAAAGATTGCAAGACCTAGCCTCTCTGGATAACGATCTTGTAGTACACGGGCTGTTTCACGAGTCACCTTTACTGATATGCTTGACATGTTCCACCCTTCAAAGTCAATTAACCAAACCATTCGCTCCTGACCCGATTTTAGATCCAGTATGGCATTCTCCATGCAATAGACTAAATATCTCATTTGCTTCTCTACTGAGTGTGGGTTCTGAAAGAGCCAGGAGAATAAGAAGATATCAGAGGAAAAAAAGTTACTATATCAAACTATGTTGCTCGGACTCTCCAAAATTTCTCCAGATGCGTGTCAGATCCTCCAAAAGCAGTGCATTTTTGAAGGATCCGACACAGGTGCGGCATAATTTTGGAGAGTCCGAGCAACATACATATCAAAGTCGACAGAAGCTCATTATAGGAACTGCTTCTCATTATTTATGTACCGGTATTCCAGGCCTCATGACAAGCACAGTCCTTCCATACTTGTCAAAGTAGTTGGCTTTGTAAACTTTTCCAGTTTCTGCTTGTTGAGCAATATCATCCTAATTAGACACAAACTATTGATCAACATATTTAATATAAAAACGCAAACATATGAATATTACAGAACAATGATTATCGCAACTAAATATTCAACACACACTAGTTCGTACCCATTGGCGGTATATCTACAGCGGCGGAGCCACTCATTGGCAAGGGGAGTCAATTGACATCCCTTCGTCGGAAAATTACATAGTATAAATAAGTTAAATTCTTAATTTTATGTGTATATACTATGTTGGATTTTGTTATTAATAACAAAAGAGGTGTGAATGGAAAATGGTGGAAAAGAAATGGAGGGAAGTGAAATTTTGAATGAGTTCACTTTACTAATGCACTTTGTCCCTCATTGGTAGAAGGAAAGAAAATCTTTGTGTATATATAGAGAAGCTCATCTTTTAGATCTTAAAGAGTTAAGAAGAAGGCAAGTCTTGTGCCGTTGTCGTTGCTTGGCTCGGCCTCGGCTTCGGTCAAAGATTGATTGATTAATCTTTTTGGACAAAATTCTTTTCAAATATTTAATTAATTAAATTAATTAACGAAAATTCAATCTGGAATAACCCATGACCCGCGACCCGGTCCGGTCCGTTTTCTTTCCCCGATTATTTTAAATCCGTTTGTTTTTCCAGTTGTGTCCGTTTTATTAATTTTACAGCAATACAGTTTTGATAACATACTATACGTCGACTCCCCTTGATTTCTTTGTGTGCTTACTTATTTATATTTTGACTCCCCTTAGTTAAAATCCTGGCTCCGCCACCATCTACAGTCTATACAACAATGAGTATCTTCTACAATAGGTTGAAATTTCTTCTGTATAAAATATCAAGGAGCAGAAATTTCTATTTCATATTATATCCATAATGCTAGACAATAAAAAAGAATAGAGGGGCTGGAGCCGTACCCAACGGATCATCTCTGGTTTATATTCAAGTCTCCATATCAAGGTTTCTTTAAGCATCTTTGCTGCCCTTTTTGTATGCCAATTCCGTGCCCTGAGAAACCTTAGAACTGATGCGTCTGAACACATTGCTGGAAACTTGTCAACAGCAGGACCAATCAGTTTTCTAACCTCATTGATCTATCAAGCAAAAAAATGAATTAGTACACATTTAAAATATCAAGCTGCATAAACACTTTATGTTCCCATCTAATGATCAATTTGATATTAGCATTAGAACTTAATATCATGTGGAAGAAACATATTAAAACCATCCAATTCCCATATCATTACAGCAACAACTTTATACATTTCATATGTAAAAATGGATGGTTGTGAAAATTATTCGTAGCCTATTAAATTTTTAGATGGAAAAGGAGTATGGCAAAGACGATGAAACACATGATTCAGATTAAGGAGCATTTTCATTCCTACTAGATACTTTCTTAACAAACTTGTAACTGCAATCAGTGACTTTTGGTCATTACCTGGAAACGGAAGTACTCATCACTATGCAGCGTGGTTTACCAGATAACTTACATTTTTTAGAGAGCGACAGAACTAAAGGAAATCTTGATCTTGAAGCGGTTTTACCTAGTTAAAAAGTATTTTAACAATGTGATTTAAAACCAGAAAACTAAGAAAATCTTGCAAGCTGCATGGCAAAAATTGTATTTCACCTAGTAACATAAAGTGACAACACTCATAGTGAAAAGATAGTCAGAATCTCAAAGAAAAAGGAATAGAGTGGGAACCTTAGCTTGCTGCTCTGGAGATGATAGAGACAATTCAGCTCCTTGCAACTTTTTGGATGACATATTTACTATAACTTGATAAAGGTAGAGAAGGCGGAAGCGAATTGACAAAAGCACTGCACAGTTTCATGAAATAATAACATTTAAAAGTCGAACAATGGTCTGAAGAATATAGTTCTTCCAAAAGAGAAGAGAACTAAACAGTTATAACCACTTAAGCTACACTAGGAAATGTAAGGCTAATCGTCTGGACAAGATCACAGACAGAAAATGTAAAGTTATATTTCATTTTACTTATACTTTTATATCTTTGCGTAAGAAGTTAAATAGAACCAAGGCTTTTTGTACAAGTAATGAATCGGGAAAGAAGATTATGCACCAATTGAACATGAGAAATAAAAAAGAGAGAACACAGACTTTTATATCCTTCCTTCAATAGCGCATAGTAAGCAGCGATTATTCAAAAAATAAATTCTAACTCTTAGACAAAGGAATTCAAAAATGTTGCTTTTACATCACCAAGATTGGACTATTTTC